TAAAATAAATCCTCACTAGTTGGAAGTCTATTCTAATTCACAACAATTTAATTATCTAATTATTCTAATAATTACGATTAGAATTTGATTTAATGTCCAAGAAGTCGTATAACATTCCAATTGTGATCTAAAATAAACCACTCTAGTAAGTGATTTACTCTACTTCACAACTATCAACTAGCTTCCAATTTAATTGCTTAAGTTACCTTTCACTTTGTCTTAAATTCTTAATTCTCAAACCAATTACATTCCACATTCAAACCTCTATAATAATATACAAGCCACTTTAACAACTCAAACACCACACACTTAAAAGTGATTTTTTTAATATATTTGAATTAATTTTAAAAATTTAAAATTTAATTTTTTTATATAGTATTAATTATCATCCAAAAAGATTCATCCAATAACAATTTCTCATCCAATAACAATTTCTCATCCAATAACAATTTCTCATCCAATAACAATTTCTCATCCAATAACAATTTCTCATCCAATAACAATTTCTCATCCAATAACAATTTCTCATCCAATAACAATTTCTCATCCAATAACAATTTCTCATCCAATAACAATTTCTCATCCAATAACAATTTCTCATCCAATAACAATTTCTCATCCAATAACAATTTCTCATCCAATAACAATTTCTCATCCGTAAATGAGTTTTCATCTACAAATGATTTTTCATCTATAATTGAAAAAGCATCCAACTTTAAACAATCTTCATCCATAATTTATCATCCAATTGATTGAAGTTTATCTTTGATTAAAGTTCATCAAACATCCAATATTTTCATCCAAATTAATCTAATTCAAACCTAACCTAATTCAATTGCATCTAAATCTAATTTAACTTCCCACTTGAGATCTCACAAAGATGATTCGTGGATGAGCACGGGTTGTCGTTGGATTCCAAACTTCTTCGAGCGGCTGTCGCAGCAGGTCGGAGCTTCAGAGTCAATGCTTCCTGCGACTAGCTCTAAGGCAGCATTGATTTCTTCTAATTTCTTTCCGCTATGAGAGCCTCAGCAACAAACTTTGGTTCACTCCAATTGAGAACCCACCAACCAAATTCCTCTGCGGCTCAGTTGGTAATGACGTCAATCTTTTCAGACTTGCACTCTGACAAAGAATCAGGGAGGACAGCAAGGTCGCGACCTTTTGATCAGCACTACTACAAGAATTGATAATAATGCTAATTACAATTTACTAGTTCCTACTCCCTCGCTGCATTGCAAGGCCACTTTGTACTCCGACAATTCTCGGACTTGCCACTCGATCTTCTTTGAATTCAACACCCAGCTTGTGTACTTTACTGCAGCCACTAGGTTCAAGCGCCACCAAAAACCGCCACTTGAGCGTAGAAGGAATCGACCTCAATCGCCGCTGCTTTCTTGTTTTTGCTGCAAATCCACAAGCCTTTGACTCGATTGTTGTGGAAGTCCGCAACCACAACAGCAGACCGCTAATGTCAACTCCAATTCTGATCAGAAAGACTTGTGAATATTAATATGGAAAATGGAACCACGCTCACTTGAATTCTTCAGATGTGCGCTTCCTCCCTCCACTTCTCCAGTCCAACTATGTCATAGGCGCCACGACGTAGAGCTACATGATACCTTATGGATCAACTAGAGCCCCACTTTCGCACCATAACCTCCTACTGCAACGGGCGCCGAAGTTGCAAACGCCTGAATAATGTGCAATCCACCTACAGAGTTTATATCCGAAGCAAGAGCCTCTATGCTCCTTTGCACGCTACCTTCTGAGCCTCAAAATCCCTTGCTCCGCAGATGACCCTTCAATTGCGACCAGAAGGCAACGTTGAACCGAAAAAAAACTGAACAGTCCAGCCGCATCACTCGAGGCGCAGATCCAGATGGGGTCTCGTCAAGATCAGTAACCAACAGGAGACTAACAAACCAGCAGCCATGCTGCTCAGTCCAACCGGAAGAAAACCTGCGAACAAGCTGATGGCCGCTACAGCGCCTTCCGCACACAAACAACAAAAAGAACAGAACACGAGGAGTCTAGCATCCTTGGCTGCACCGCAGCTCCTCGCCACGTCGACTCTTTCGAAGCTCAAAAAACAAGATCAAATAACGAAAACCAGAGAAAGGCAGGACGAGTGAACTGTCGCTCCAATTGCAGCACCAGATAAAAACACCTCCTTGCTGCACCGAAGCAAAGAAGGGAAAAACAACACAGTTGCAGAGGTCGGCCTTTGCGACGCTAACTAAGAAAAAGAAAAAAGAGAGAGAACTTACGGCGGCTAACCCAGTGTTGAGAACCGCCACCCGATGACCGGGTGACGATACCCCGGCTTCTACCTCGATCCGGATAACCATATGGCACAGTATCCGGTACTGTACTGTATATCATATTTGGGTTGTATTTCCTACTATATGGCTACTATATTTTCTATTATATAGCTAATGTATACTGCATGGTATACTATCTATATAATTACTATATTCCGACCCATATACTAAGATATTTTGACTATACCTCATACAAAACCTATTATTGTGTCTACTATGTATCAAGGCTGTGTTTATACCGTATATGGCTATCTAATATTGAAATTTGGAATATTCTAATTATTTTATAGATGCTCCTAAGATACTAAAAACATACTCAATTGATACTTTCTAAGATAATTTCTAAAAATTAGAATTTCCTACTAGAATTTCTATACATAGTTATGTTTTATCCACTAATTCTATTTTACTTATGTTTAGCATTTTCTCCACCTCTTGTCAATTGACACTTGACAATTAACCCTTCTATTATAAGCTTTTGTTCTGACACAAAATGTGAGTCAATTTAGTAACTCACAATTGTCTATAATTCATTTGCTATATCAATAAGTTTTCAATACATACATTTTACTGTTGAGATATATAAATTAATGCAATGTGTTTCAAACTTTTTAATAAATAAGAAAAATCTTGATACAGTCAAAAAAGATTATGTCAGTATCATACATGATCTAATCTCAATGCTCAAAATTATTTTGAAAAATAACAAAACCACAAAATAAAAAATATAGTTGTTAAAGAAGACAATACACCAAAAAATGAGTTTATTCAATCATAAAAAAATTGTGAAGTTGGACTTTTATACAACATCTTGTAAACGTTGTATTTTTTCTTTAGAATCTTATTGCTTTAAGAGATACATTTGTTTAGAATCTAAAAATCATAGTCTTTGCCTTGTAAGATTTGGAAGCCTCAACTTGTTTTTTAAATGAAATAATTGTAAAACATCATAAAATACTATTTGTAAAGAAAATGAAATTGGTACATGTAGAAGTCATAGATAGTCTATTTTTATCTTTTTAGAGATGCTATTTATCAAATCAATCTTATAGATGTAACAAAAAATAGTCATAATATTTAATATCATTAAATCTATTAGTAATTTAATCATTTTGGATCTATTGTTAATAAAAAATAAAATAAAAAAGCCTCTAAATAAATTGGATCTCTTGTAATCTTATTTCTTTTTAATAGTCTATTTAATGATATTTTCAATCAAATAATAAGTGTTAATTTTAAAACAACCAAAACCTTATTCGTAGCAATAAAAATATTTATGCATATTACAAAAGAAAGATTTTCATTTATTATTTATGTAAAAATAAGTTTTGATGATAAAATAGCAAAAAATAGGATGTCAATAGAAAAACGGTCTCTAATAAATTCTCTTTGATAATTTTTTTTAAAAATAAATATATTTTAAAAATATTTAACTAATATATATTTATGATTTTTTTCATTGTAGTCTTATTTCCATTAAATATTTAATGGAGATAAAAGTTAAATGAAATCCTTGATCTAAAACAACCAAAAAAAAAAGAAAAAAAAAACTTGGTAGTTTTAGACAAATAAAATAAAAGGATAATAATAGAATAGAAGAAGAAAAGGTTGAGGGTAGGGAGAGAAAAGAAAAAACAGAAAGAAGGAGATCAAAGAGAAGATTAAGAAAGAAAATAAAAAGTAGGAAATAAATAAAATAAAAATAAAAATAAAAAATGAAAGAAGTGAAAAAAAAGAAAAAAGAAACAGAAAGGCAATTAGGAGGGCTAGAAGCTACCCAAAAACAATGGCAACCTCTTTGTCAATAGGGGTCTAACTACTTGGATCCTTGCCTCTCTTTTTTCATTTTTTTGAGAGTGCACAAAGAAAAGGCTCTAGATTTGATGGACAAGCAGATGGATTATGTTCTTTTCCTGTCTACAATCGTTTTTTTGAGAAGGTTATTGGTGATGCTGCCAAGTTGAATGTATTCTTCATTGAGGAGGTGTTGGAATCGTCGCTCTAGTACGGTGGAGCAAAATTGTTGTTGTTGACATTACTATCTTGTTGAAGGAGCCGTTCAACTCTATCTAAGACATTTTTGCAGCATTGTGTTGGCGGCTCATCTTCTGTGGTGCTTGTATTGCAATAGAGATCTTGGTGGCTTGTTGTTCTACTGATGCACTATGAGCTAAAATAAACCTCTACTAATTGGGAGTTTATTCTAGTTTACAATAAGTAAATTAATTATTTAATTCTTAGAAATTTTAGTTCTTATCAAAATCTTAATCTATTCACTACTAACCTCCTTAAATCATCAAGTGTGAAATAAATAACCCTTTACTATTTGGAAGGTTGTCCTTGTTCATAATAATTGAATTAACTAATTTTTTTTCATAAGTTGTAACTCTTATTTAAATTTTAATGAAACCACTCTTCAATCTTATTAAAAAAAATCCAAGTCATTAAACAAAACCTCTCCCTTTAACTCACATACAATAGCAAATTACTCACAAAATGCTTGCCAAAGAATTCCTTCTCTTAATTCTTAATTCAATTGTTTGTTTGTTTGTTTGATTGTTTGTTGTTTTTTGAGTTTTACGTTTTTTTTTTTTTTTTTTTTTTTTTCTTGTATTAACTTTCATCCATTAACAAAAAATCATCCAAACAAATTTATCATCCATAAATGACTTCTCATCCAATTTAAGATTCATCCATGCTTTATAAATTTATCATTGATTTAAAAATTCATCCAAGTCGTTTGCCCTAGAACCTAACCTACTTGCACCCAAAATCCACCCTAATCAGTGTAAATAGTCTCACTGAGCCGAAGGAGATTGCTGCACTAGTCGACCTGCTGTGAGTCGAATTCCATCGCAGCCTGCCACACTCTGCCATCTTTGTCTGATCGCCCAATTGCAAAACCCAGTGAGGGTCGACCTAACAACACAGCACCTCAATCGCTTGGAAGACTAAGCAAGTCTGAAATTCCCGATCTGAGCACTCCTTCCTGCCGTCGAGAAGATGGAAGACTTCCTCTACCATCGTGCACAACTTCTTCAACTATCTACATCCTCCTCAAGACCTCATCCACAAGCAAAGGCTCTCTTGCTCCACTTCTTGCATCAGTGCCACCATGAATGTAACAACTGCAGATCAAAAGTCAACGCCAACATCTCTACAAATTGCCGCACCCACAATCTTGCCCAATCCGGAGTTCACTCCGTTGATCACAGAAGGGGAAGAAGGATGCTGCCAAATGTCCAGTCACATTTGCCTCCAGTCAGCCGATTTAGCAATAGGAATGTAGGGTGACAAAGTCGGAGTTGAATGCAAGTTCTCCTCCTTCTTATCACACGGTTTGGCTCCGCATCAACAACTTGGAGATCCTCGAAATGCTCAACCTTCATCTCTTGCCTCTAGCACAATCTTGATCGACTAGAGTCCAACGATTAGGGCTTACCTCACACCCACCAAACGAACCTATTAACTAAATGTATGAGGCGACTACATGAACACGGATGGTATGTCATGAGGATAATTGTGGTTTGAATCTAGATTTATCAAGTAATAGAGCCTTTAAGTTCCGTAGATGCTGAACTATGGGGTACAACTAAGTTTGATTAAGTGTCGCAGGGCGTTCATATGTGCACATTAAATTGTGATCACGCACACTTGTTGGCGGATAGAGACTCAATCAATCCTACGAATTCTGTAGGAGTGGCATGAAAATCTAAGCTGCAGCTTTAGAACCAAAATCTAAGGCGACATCGAAGAAACATGCCGTACGCAACCAGCTCGAGGGCGTCGATCACTAATTGACTGGATTAATCTTCTATACACCAATCTCCGAGAAGATCCAAAACTGTCCGGATTGGCAGCAATTGGACTCCAAAATCACCTAGCAACGTCGGAGAGGAGCCAACTGCCACCCTAGCTGATCAACAAATCCTTGATTTAACCGCAGCGACGAGGCTTTATATCGTCATGTCGAGTCGCACAACCACCGCAAACAACACCTAGTGTAGCGTTGACACCAGAATGGATGGCATTCCAACTGCGACAAGATGTGGCTCACTTCGCCCCACGGAGGTTCAAACTGCCAGTGGAAGTGAACATGGAACCGCCGCACGCTCCACAACCAACCTATGCTTCTGCCGAGGAAAAGAAGAAAAAACAAAAAGACAGGGGTGGCTTTTCACATACAGACACACCCTCCAACATGAAAAAAAACACAACCCGCAAACTTCGCTTGACTCGAAGTTCAGAACTAAGGAAGAAATAAAATTTGACAAAGAAGGAACAAAAACACCAGTTCCTCCTAGCGTCGTCGGCCACCTACAAGATCAGCACCACTTCCCCCATCGCTAGTTGCAAAGAAGTCGTATTCCTTTACACTACCGCAGCATATCAGGACTGGAGCAAGCACAACACCAACTTTGAATTCCACCTCTATTCCCTTTCATCGAAAAGAAGAGAAAAAATAAAAGAACCACACTTTGATCTCTCACCGCATCATCGCCACAGCACTGTCGCTTGTTGACCTTGTGGCTATCAATGGAGGATCGTGACTCCAACTCGTCGACAACTGCCAAAATGGCTTTCTCACACTGTCGAGTATAAACTGGAAAGAAGAACTATTGCATCGACCATAATTTGTCAAAATCTTGCGTACAGGGGAAAAAAACTGATTGAACCAACATTGACAAGAACAACCGCCTCACTGCAAGAGCCTCCTAGATTTGAGCTGGTAAAGATCAGTATAGTGACTTAAGTCAGCTCGTCAACCTCAACTTAATCAAAGAAATCCAATCAAAATCCAACTAAAACTGGTGGCCCATTGCAGGCATTGTAACCTAACTAGGAAGGGAAAGGTTTGACAATGTTGCCACTCCCTAGTAGCACAAACAATGTTGCCCTAGCTGCAACACAACAGAAAAATTGGAGCACCCAAAAACAAAAAAACACACACGCACACGATAAAAAGGGAGAGTTCGGGGCCGCCCAGACGCCTATCGAGGAGGCTGCCGTCATTCAAGGGCAGCCTCTCGCCCTCCTGATCATCTTCATATATATATATATTCCTGGCTACTTCTACTTTCTTTTCTATTTTTTCCACTTTTTTCTTTTGGATTGATTTAGATCAAAGATCCTTCTTAGCTTCTAGCCTAATTAAACAATTCATGATAATAAAACTATTATTAAATATCATAATTTATATTAGCTAGTTTTAAGGAGAAAATGTTTATTTTGGAATTTCTTTTCAAAAATTCCACTAGAGCTTCTTTTTACAACTACCATTCTATTATTTTGCTATTCATCTCAAACTCCTGTACTAATTCATAGTTGAACTATTCAAAGAGGAAAAGAATCCACTTGATTGCATATAGAAAAGATCATGGTTAATGAAAAAACTTTGGAAGAATCTAAGCTATTTACTAAATTAAGGTGAGATATTTCTACAAAAAAAGAAGAAAGAAGGAAAATCAAAATAATAGAAAATTAAAAAAGGGAGGAAATTCAAACTATTAGGAATATAAAATCTAAAAGTTAGTATTATAAAATTCTTTTCCAAGGAGAAGAATGTAGATTAGAAGCCATAAAGGCCTATATATCCTCTAGGTTGCCCTAGTTGGCCACTTTCTTGCTCTAATACTAGCTCATATAAATAGCTATCTATAAGAATTGGATTCAAATCCAAATCAAGTTTGACATAACTACTTTTGTGGCCAACTATTCATCAACTTGAGGAAACAAAACTATTCTAAATTATTTATTTATTTATTTATTATTATTATCATTATTATTATTTAAAATTCTTATGTCTTAGTAAGTAGAAGAGATAATATTTTAATAGAATAAAAAATCGTTTCTAAAATTGCTTTGTTTTTCTAATGAATCAAGATCCAAATTTACTTAATAAAAATCAAATTTGATGTTGTATGGCTAGAATTCCATTCAGCTCAAGTAATAAGAATATAACTTATTTTTCCACGATATGATAATTTTTTCACATTCTATATTTATTACATTTATTCTCGGATGTTCTTGATGGAAATATTTCACCATTTAATATTTCTAATTGTCACGAGTTATTGTCAAAAACTTCCTAAATATGATAAAGAACTAATTAAAGAACATCAAATGTGTTAGGGGAATCTATTATCTTAACATCTTATAACAATACTAGCCTTTTAGGTTGTAGAATGCTCATCTTAAGGTTTTTATCTAGAATTTTTTTTTTTTTTTTTCCTTTGAATTACTTCTATATATTGAGCTCTAATCCTTTAAAATTCATTCAAGCTTTTTAATTATTTTATTCTATTTCTTAAGGATTCTTGGATAGTTAATTCATTATCTATTGCTATCTTGAGAAAAGTTCTATATCCATCATTATTTTTAAGAAGATTGTGAAAAATTCCATTAACAACCATAGTTCTTGATGAAGAATATTGCATTTGAAGAAGTGGAACTAAGTCATCATCCAATTTAAAGACTTCAATCTCTTCTTTTAATATTCCATCTACATCAATGCTAAGGACTTGTGTTTCTTTGACTTCTACAATTTCTAACATCTTATTTAAATAATTAACCAATTTATAATAATCAAAATTAAAATTTGGATGATTTTTTTAATCATTGTTTGAATTTCTTGTCATCCTTTTAATGATAAAGGTTGGGACTTAGGTATTCTATTTTCTTTGAATCTTGGTTAATTGAATTAATTACTTTTGTTAGTTTATCTTGTCTTTTAGATTATTGAATATCTTCTAAAAAAATCAATGGGATTAGTTTTTCTATAATCAAAGATAGGTCATTTGGAGATTTTAGTTCTATTCTTCTAAAGACCAAAGGTATTGTGAGGATTGTTTCTTTTCTAATTAACAATGGCTTTTGAATCTTTCAACTGTAGTCTATTTAGTAGTGGGAGAAAAGAATCTTTTGACATATGCATCCAAAAGACATGGTATATCAAGGCATATTCTTTTCTTTCAATCTAAGTCTTATAATTTTTTATTTTGCCCATTAGAATAGACAAGATTTTATTTGCTATCTTAATAACAAAAAGAGAAAAGCTAGTAACATTCAATCTTAGATTTTCTATAGTTTGGAAGGGCATAATATTCAAATCACTTTCACCATCTACAATGATATAGAATATTATCTTTCCCACAATAAAACCCTCAATTTTTATTACTTTAGCTTATTTTGTTTAATATATATATATATATATATATATATATCTATATCTATTTTTATCACCACCTTAGTCTTACGCCTTCTTTGATTTTTTATTAAAATATAATTTTTTAGTACTTTTCAATAATTGGATAAATGTAATATTATCCTTTAACTTCTTAAGATCATTTCATAAGTTATATTTTCGAATATTGGATTATTTTCCATCCTTAGACTATTGAAGAATTTCAAATGTGGAAATTTTGAGACCTTTTTAATTATAGTTGTATGAATTGATATTTAACTTGTATTCAACCATAAGATTTTGAAATAGTAGTTTTTCTACCAAAAGATCAAATCTTGTAGATTTGAGAATATTATTTTGAGCTGCTTTAATTGTATCTCTCATGACTCAATCTAAATCCAAAAAGCAGGATAGACTATTTGAGATACTAGTCTCTTCTTCTTGATAGATAAATGAAAATGCAACTCTAAATATAGTCATCATTACAAAAGTTAATACTACAAGTAAGTTTTTTTTTTTTTTTTTTTTTAAATTTTTTTTTTAAAGGTTATTAAATTCAATTCTAGAAGAAAAAACTTAATTAATACTAGTTTGTGAGAGATTTTGAATAGCTTCCAACTCTCCTATGGACTAAGATACAAATCTCACATCTTGAAATCCTTCACCATATCTTGGTTGATAAGAAGGATTTTGATCTTGAAGTTGACTTTCATTAGGATTTAATAGAATAAATCTAGAATCAATTTTAAGCTTATTAGATGCATTCTGAATTTTTCTATTATTTTCATAGTCATAGTATAAATTTAAGGACCTTAGATGGTTATTTATTGGAGATTTTTTTGCTCTCCTACAATTATCATATGACTATTGAATATAATTATTAGATAGAAGTTGCAAAAAAATTATTCTATCTAATTTTCTACAAAACTTTGTAGGATGGTTACTACCACAATTTCTACACTTTATCTGGTTTTTAATCCAACATTGACCAAATAGATGTCTTTTTCTACAAAATGCATAAAATTCTACTTTTTGTCTTGCTTAATCTCTAGAATCTTGGTTCTTAGAATTAAATCCTTGTTCCCCCAAATTATGTCCTTGAAAAGTTTGACTTTTTTTTGGAAGAACATATGGTTGAAAATAATAGTTTTGTGGAGGCATGGAGTTGCAAAATTGAGCCGAATGTCCTAATTATCCACATTGAGTGCACCATAGTCCTATTGTATGTCTTCCTGATTCAATAGGTGGTAGAAGAGGATTGAGGTTGGAATTTTTAGCCAATCTTGCTGATTGTTTTGTTATTAATTTCAATTGATGAAAGATTTGGATTTGAAATTCTAACTCAGATGCCTTCATCTTTTTTTGAAAATTCTCCTTCCATCTATTATCTTCCTAGGATAAATCAAGGCTCATAAAGGAGGTAGAGGCCTCGTATTTAAAGATAAAAAATAGGCTCTTGGGATTGTAGGAACTAATAGTAGTTATTCATGTATCTAAGAGCTTGATGCATAAGAAAGCTTAACATATATGAAAATGAAGCTAGAAATATTGTGATCTTCTTTATGCCATAGCCTTTCATACTCTCTATTTATTTGTTCTACTTTCTTCACAACATTTTTGGTTACTATAAGATCTTTAAGTTGTTCATGGAGGATTTCTTTGATTGTCTCCTCTTTAGCAAACCTTTGAATGAAGAAATACTTCAAGATATTGTCAGTGAATAAGGTTCCTACAAACCTTATTACCACTAATTCAAATCATTAAATATATGATATAATGTCTTTGTCTTTCTCTTATCTAAGTAAAGATAAAGCAATTAAGTCTACGCTTTATTCTACTTCAGATCAAAATTGCTCTAAGAAAGTATAATAGATCATATTTCAACTTAATAAGATATTAAGAGAGTGATTGCTATACCACTTATACGCCTTTTTTTTTTTTTTTTTAATGTGGTTGAAAATCACACTAAATAATAATAGCCATCTATTATTAAATATTTAGTGAGTATTTTCATAAAAAATTCTACATAAGCTAAAGGATCCTCATCTCTTGTATCTTTGAAGGTGAGAAGGTTAAAAAGCATAGGAGTAGTACTAAGTTCCTCTAAAATTCAAATAGATAAATTCTTTGATTGAATCAAGGAGTTAATTGATATAGATAGTAGTTCTTTTCCTTCTGCTCTATTTGGATCTATTGTCTCTTATCATTAATATGAATGAATACTCCCTTTGTTTGAGTTACTTCTACTATCTATCAAAGGTTTTGATAATACTTTTATTGAATCTTCTTTAAGATCTTTTAAAAAAAGATCTTCTAAAGAAAGATCTTTAAGTTCTTCCAATAGATTTCTAAGCATATTTAAATCAAGTTTATGAATTGAAGTTCTAATATTTGGTAAAAGAGGTTTAGTAGTTCTTAATGATTCAAGATTTTTCAAAGATTGTATTAATATGGATTTATGGCACCTAGTAAAATGTTGCATTAAACTTTTATAATTACAACGTCATGTCTAAAAAATTTAAAATAATTAAATCAAGCCAAATTAAATAACCATAGAATTTAAGTTTTTAATATTTTGTACTTATCAACATACATCCCACTTAAATATTTTTGATAAAGAAGAAAAATCCAAAAAAAATAATCTAAAAAGAGAATGCTTACTTATGTATTACCTCAAGCAAGTCTTTTCTTCTTTTAGACTATTATATGGAATGACCTTGTATGGAAGTGATTCTAAGCAATATTTAGTACAAAAATATATCGTTTTCAATAGAAAGTCTAAGTTTTATTTTTTATTTTATTTTTTTATTTTATTTTATTATTTTTTATA